AACTATGCCTTCCATCTTCTTATTGTGAATGTTGAGTCTACTCCCAACAGCACAATACCAAATAGAGCAATGTGGCGCCTGATTTATGGAGGCTGATGTGTTAAGCATTGATTAATGGAGGCTGCAAAAAAAATAAAAGTCTTCGGCTAATTTTAAGGATAAGTTTTATTTTCATAAAACTCTTTATAATTTAGTTTTAGAATTTTATGCTTATCAACAATAGTTTCTACTGTCTTATGAATAAGCCAGCCAATCAAGTGCATATGTTAGGGCTTCTTAAAATCTTAATATGAATATTTATCACAATTTGTTATAAATTCTAATCATATTATGTTTATAAAAATTATAAATCTTTATGCATCATATATATTAATCAACCATAATTATAATAATAGGGTGGTAGAATACTCACAACAATAACAATAGATAGAAAATGTAATATCTAAATTTTGTATAAAAATTCAACATTTAAATGGGTTAAAAAAAGATTGCAATAGAAATCAAAATTATTGAGTGATGATGCGATGTTGATTAGGTAATGGCTATAAAACGATGACGGTCAAGCGACAACAGTTAAGTAATAACAATTGGGTGACAATATTTAGGCAACGATGATTAGATGACAGTAGTCAACTACACTAGCTCACTTGACTCTAAGGTTAATTTTTATTTGGAACGAAATATTTTACGACTTTTTAGGGTCATTGGGAATAAATACTTGATTTTAAGCCTATTAAGATACTTAAATATTAAAATAATGATACACAAACATTGGAATTAGCATGAGTTATCAGATGAAGTTCCTAGAGATTCTGACTAAAATTATAAAAAATGTCACTAAAAAAACTAAAAATAAATCATCATTCTCAACATGAATGGAATATGAACTTGAATGTGTGGACATCTTAGATATCATAAGAACTTTAACGCCTTATTTGATGATGAATGCTGAATACCACTGCCAGCAATAGCTGTTGCTTGATTGTTGTCACTTGCATTTTTTTACACAATTACTATCACTTGATTGCTAGCGCTCGACCATTGTGGACCGTCATCGCCTAACTATCGTTATCCGGTTGTCATGATCTCACTATCAATTCCCTCCATAAATTCTCCAACAATATTTACTACCATTACATGAGATCAAAATAGTGTTCCGAACTTTAAAGTCTTGCATTCTCTAATTGAGAGGAAGATAATGGTTTTGTAATTTTGTATTTTAGATCATTTGAATTGGGTTAGGCCGCATCTATTTTTGGGTTTTTTATATAAAAATTTTGACTCTTGTAAATCATTTATTTTTGGGGTTTTTATATAAAAATTTTGACTCTTGTAATCAACTCAATCAAGGGTGAAACATTGAAGAACTCAGTTTTTTTTTTTAAATAATCATTTTAACTATTTTGCACACAAAATTATATCTTTCTATTTCATTTATAAAATTATGTATTTTACAATATTATTTTACCCATTCTCTCTTGAGAGATTAGTTCCGCCACAATCTCGGTTGTGAACTAATAATAATGGATAAAATTAATGACACTCACAATATAAATAGTTATATCATGACACAAAATATATCAGAATATCTTAACATAATTTTTATTCATCGTACTAAGCCCATTCCGATCATAATAATTTTATTTTTTTACACAATCAAATGCCAACCAATTCTTAAGATCAAGCAAAAACTCACTCAACAACTACAAGTTGAGGTTGTGTCAACCCTTTGATTGCCTCTTAATATATTATAAAAAAATTTATCTTGATCAAGCACAAATCCCAATGCAAAATTGAATTGAAAACTTTCAAAATTAAATCCAGAAACATCTGGACTTCGATCTCAGCAAACTTATAGTTGAACTGAATGTCTCGAAAAGACGAACATAACGCCACCAAATTTAACTCAATACGAGCCTAATGGGTCTAAATCGAAGACCCGAAAACCATAATTTGTATTATCAAACGATCTCCAAATATGACATGCTTATAGTTGAATTGAGCAGCTTGACGAGAAGAATCCAACGAGCCTAAGATCATTGAATTCTAATATCATTAAGATATTCAAATGCCAGTAAATGATCCACAATCAATGTGGTCAATATTAGTCGTACATTCAAACCACTCCCAACATACCCTTGATCTCCCTCATATTTACTGTTCATGCCACTCTTAGAAAACTATAAATAGATCCATCATTCTTCATGAAAGGGGACTCAAGCAAGGAAGAGAAGGAAAAGAGATAGAGAAACTAGAGTTCTCTTGCCACCAGACTCTTCCTCGACCACCATCGGACCACTGACCGTCGTCGAACTATCACCAAGCTTATGCCTAGCCACTGACTGAAGTTGAACTTCTACCTGACCACTAAATGACGCCAAACTTCTTCCTGGCCACCAACTATGGTCTTTTTGACCTCAGTCACTAGACAACGATCTTTCTGACCACTATATATCTCCATCGTCAGACTACGGCCCTTCCAACATTTATCGCCAGATTACGGTTCTTTTGACCTCCTTCTCCAGAAAAAGATATTTCTAATCACTATCGCCCACCGACTACAGTCTTTCCGACCTCAGACATCAGATAATGGTCTTTTTAACCACTGCCACCTGCCAGCTACGATCCTTCCGACCTCCATCGCCCGCCAACTAGGGTCTTTCCTACCTTCGTTGCTAGACTATGGTTTTTCCGACCTCTGTCTCTCACTGATTAATGACCTTTTGATCTCTATCACTAGATAACGATCTTTCTGACCTTCATCGAATATCAATTTTGGTCCTTCTGACCTTCATCACCTGACAACATTTTTTTTTACCTTTGTCGCCTGTTGATTACGGTCCTTCTGACCACTGTTAGCCGACTGTGATCTTTTTGACATCCGTCGCCCACCTACTATAGTTATGTCGAATAAACAAATATTTTAATACTAATTCTTCCAATTCTCACCATATAATGCACTCTATATGATGTATATTTGTTACATCAAACTAAGGCCTTCCCCCCAAAGAAGGGCCTCATTTATAATTGATTGCAAACACTATTGGATTCATTCAAATTAGGCCAGGCCCTATGGCTTTTCCCCTTTTTTAGGGGTTTCAATATAAAAACTCCGGTGTCTGTTATGAATGCTACACCCTCTCTTTTACCTGATTGTGTGCTGAATTTTCATACAAGATAAGACTTTAAACTTTATATTTCTCTACCGCTATAAAAATTCCATGATGTAACACCTCTAAATCAAAGTATTGTCACATATCACACATATGCACATACATATATTTGACTTACAATGATTCATCTACTCAAAATTTTCAAGTGGTTATTGTTGCGAGCTAGAATATACTTGGCGATAGAGTTATAATACTGCATCTTAAAGTTGTATGGATATCCAACTCACACAAAGAAAACATAAGATTTTTTATGTGGAAAAACCTCAAAAAGGGGAAAAATCACCGTGCTTCCCCCATTTGAAATGATTCCACTAGTGTTTGGGTAGATTGTAGTGAGCTGACTCATTCTTGAGGGCGATCAGATTACAAATGTCAACTATATGGTTGAAGTCTAATGACAAACGGGGGTTGAAAGTCCGACGTTATTTGGTGGTTCGACAAAAGTCTAACTTTACTTGAAAATTTGAGCGTTAGTTGGTAGTCTTGCGGCGGTTTTGCAGAACTTCATCGTTGAGTAGTAGTTCGATAGAATTATGGTGTCGAGTAGTGATCCAGCGAAAGTCCGGGCGACAGGTGGTGGTTTTGCAGAACTTCGAGCATTAGGTGGTGGTTTTGTGGAAGGCTGGGCGTCAGGTGGCAGTCTGACATAACTCCGCACGTCAAGTGGTGGTCTGACAAAACTCTGGGTGTTATGTGGTGGTCTGGCGGAAGCCCGGGCGTCAAGTGGTGGTCCGGTGGAACTCTAAGCATTAGGTGGTTGTCCGGTAGAACTCAGGCGTCACGTGGCTGCTCGGCTAAAGATCGAGATTCAGGTGGCAGTCTTGAAGAACTCTAGGAGTCAGGTGATGGTATGGCATAACTTCCGGGCGTCATGTGGTGGTTCAGCGGAAGTTCGGGTGTCAGGTGGCAGTCTGGCAGAAATCTAGGCATCAGACGATGGTCAAGTAGAACTCCTAGCGTCAGGTGATGGTCCAGCAAAACTATGGACGTCAGGTGGTGGTTCGACAGAACTTTGCGCGGTGGTCGAGGAGGCAAGGAGGCAAGAGCGATCTTCGATCTCTCTCTTGTTTCCATAGGATTATGGGGTCCATTTTCAAGAGGAATGATAGGTTTATTTATAGATTTCATAGAGTGGTATTACCCGCAAATAGGAGGAATATAAAGGGTAAATGGGGAGTGATTTATATAGACGGCCGATGTTGAATCCCTTGATTGTGGACCGTTTGTTAGAGATTTGTAGGTCTTAATGATGTTGAGCTTCCATGATCTTGAGCTCGTTGGATTCATCTCGTCGAGCCGCTCGATTCGACTATAAGCATGTCACGTTTGGAAACCGTTTGGTAATCCAAATTAGTGTTTGAACCTTCCAACAACTCTTTAGGTCCTTGATTTGGACCCATTTGAGCGGATTGAGTTGAATTTGGTGTCATTGGGTTCATATTTTCGAGACGTTCAGTTTGACTATAATTTTGCTAATTAGAGTTCTGATAGTCTCAATTTTAGTTTTGGAAGTTTCCAGCCTTATTTTGCCTCGAGATTCTTGCCCGATCAAGATAATTTTTTATGATGTATAAGTTATAATAAATGAGGTGCAAAATTAGACAAAATTTTAGATGAATCCCAAAAATAAGTGCAACTTTAAGGAAAAGAAGTGATCGATCTTTTAAGTATTTATTGAGGTGAAAAAATATTATATTTTTATATTTTTTAATAAGAAAATTCAAATAGAAGGACAAATAATATATATCAATCAAAATAGCTCTAAATTAATTGTATTTATCTAATAAAAATGTCAAGATTCATATTTTATGGTTTTGCTCCTCATCCTCTCGTCCTCAATCCAGAGAAGGCGAAGCAGCTGAGCCAAAGGCTGTTGGTGGCTTCAAGCATTCAACTGATAAGCCAATATTTTCTCTACGTCTGTAGCCATGTGTTCATTATTTTTTTCGATTATGCCCTTGAGGCCTTGACTCAGTACTAATTACAAGACAAGAGGCCTCTCAACCTTTGTGTGAAGGATAAACGGAGAATTTCCCGATAATAAAAAAAAAAGGAAAAAAAGAAAAACGCAAGACAGAGAGTGAGGCGAGGTTTGTGGGCAAGCCCAGCGCATTACAAACGGCTATAATTGAGGCAGTGGAGGAGAGAGAAGGAGGCCGAGTCACAGAAAAAAAATCTTTTTACGCTATTTATTCACAGAAAGATTTGATTTTGCGGAGCGAGTGCCAGCGAAATTGAGGGGAAATCTGATAAAATAGGGATTTTGAGGAAGAAAGAGAAGGGGGGAGGCTGGTGGGCCGGGGATCGCCGGGTGGGAAAGCGTCGGAAACCCGCGCGTGATCCGATCTGCGCACCAGGCCAGTTCGTTCTGTTGTTGAAGAGGAGAAGAGATTGTTACTGACTTAGGAACTGGAGGAAGGGTTTCGCGATGCAGGAAGGAGGCTATTACAATTCGAAGAAGACGGATGATATCTGCCAAGACGTTTGTGGCCCAGTAACTTCTTTGCTTTTCTTATTTTTATTACAGTTTTCTAGTTTGTATTTCTTCTCAGATCTGGTGTTGTTTTTTTTGCTTTTTTGGGGTTTTGATTGCAATTGTATCAATTGAGGAGATTTAACATTGTTTCTATTGGAAGGCCCTAGAATGTTGAATTTCTCTTCGGCCGGCTAGGTTCTGCGAATTTGTTTATGAAATTCATAATATCCTCTTTCCAATTTTTTTGACCTAGAAGTAAAAAAAAAAATCTCCCTAATTTTCTACTTTTTACTGTAATTATTAATCCTCGATTCATCTAATCGGTCGAGAAATTGCATTCCTTATTCTTCTGTTTGTTTCCTAGCAGGCTTCTAGGGCGGCTTTGAGCATGTCCCGTCTGCGTTGCATCCTTCGTGGATTTGATCACAAGGCTCTTCTTCTTCTATTTGTTGGCTTACCGCTCTTCATCTTTGGCATCTATTTGCATGGCCAGAAGATCACTTACTTCCTCCGACCGCTCTGGGAGTCTCCTCCTAAACCCTTCAATATTATTCCACACTACTATCATGAGAATGTTTCCATGGAGAACCTATGCAAACTACATGGTTGGGGTATTAGGGATACTCCAAGGCGTGTCTTTGATGCTGTGCTCTTCAGCAATGAAGTAGACATCCTTGAGATTCGTTGGAATGAGCTTCACCCTTTTGTTTCAGAGTTTGTTCTTCTGGAATCCAATTCCACATTCACTGGACAAGTAAAGCCCTTGTTCTTTGCTCAGAACCGAGAAAAGTTCAAGTTTGTGGAGTCCAGGCTCACTTATGGTGTGGTTGGTGGAAGATTTGTCAAGGGAGAGAATCCTTTTGTTGAGGAATCTTACCAGAGAGTGGCTCTGGATCAGCTAATAAGGATAGCAGGCATCAATGAAGATGATTTGTTGATCATGTCGGATGTTGATGAGATCCCTAGTGGCCACACAATCAACCTTTTGAGATGGTGTGATGACATTCCTCATAAACTTCATCTGGAGCTCAGAAACTATCTTTATTCATTCCAATTCTATCTTGATAATAGGAGCTGGAGGGCCTCAGTGCATAGATACAAGCCTGGAAAGACAAGATATGCTCATTTTCGCCAGACCGATGATTTGTTAGCAGATTCAGGATGGCATTGTAGCTTCTGCTTCCGCCGCATTAGTGAATTTGTATTCAAGATGAAGGCATACAGCCATGTTGACCGTGTGAGATTTTCTTACTTCCTTAAGCCTTCAAGGATTCAGGATGTGATTTGCCGAGGGGCGGATCTTTTTGACATGCTACCAGAGGAGTATACATTCCAGGAGATCATTGCTAAGATGGGTCCCATTCCAAGTTCTTACTCAGCTGTTCATCTTCCTGGGCATCTACTTCAGAATGTCGACAAGTACATGTACCTTCTTCCCGGGAATTGCCTGAGAGAGAGTGGCTGAATACTTTACCTTCTGTAGAATATTTTTTCTTACCAACTTACAGAACAAACTATTGAAAAACTGGGAGATGATAATGATTCTTCTGAGGGAAGCTTGCAAGCAGGGGTGAGTACTTTGGTTTGTAATGATTACATCTTGAGTTATATTTGAAAAATTGAGTATATCATGTGATGCTTGCGAGGAGCATTTTCAATAGTTCCAGCTGCTCTAAGGGTTTATGACCGGGAAGTTGTTATTTCTTCTCCCTTTCTTTCCTCACTCAGTATGATGTAGACTTGTGGAGTGCAAGTCAAATGAAATTTCTGAATTTTGCAACATGGTGATTTAGTACTTCTTAAAAACTGATTAATTCTTGTATTCTTGTTCAAACTTCCTTGATCGTCCATCAACACCTACATTTTGCCTTGTGGTTTGTTTTAGTTCTATTTGCTGGTAAAAGCTATTTTGAAGGTTTTGTTTTTGGTGCTCTTGCCACTCCATTTTTATTTGTTCAAAATATTGTATGCTCAGCTTGTGTAGTATGCTGTACTAGAACTTATTGTTTTCCGTCCAAATGCAATAAGCTCGCCTTCTTTGTCATACCGTCAAGAGTATGACATTGGCTTGCAATATTATTTTCTTCTGATTTGCATTCATGACAATAACTTGAACTGTTGGTGTGGCATTGGGTTGGTGATGAGATATCTATATCTGAATTGAGAATAATCAAACATGTACTTATAATATTGATGTGCTCCTTCTGTTTGTGGATTGGGTCTGAATTTACTGTTTTAAGTATTATTAGCATGTCACAATATATATTATACATCATATGTTTCTTACATTTTTTTAGTTTCTGTCATATTAGGATTGATTTTGTGATGTTCTACGACATATCTGCATGTAGAGTAGGACTGTTTGATCTTTTGAATTTTTTTTGTCAATATTTTGTAATAGAAATTGGTAAGTACCAACTGATAAGCAAGCCACCTGATCGGTTTACACTCCATTGTACAAGCAACAAAGGATTCCTTGACGCCATAACCTGGACCGTTGATCTCTAACGGACACATCCTGATCACCCAAATACAACTCATCTTGTACCTATTCAGCTTGTTATATAATATCAACACTGTAGCTTCTCTGTATAGTGAGACTTTACATAATAGAACATATCTGCTACTTCCAAACTCTGCTATGAACTCTTACATGGTATTAGAGCAGTAAAAGCTCAACAGCTCACTTCATCTCCTCAGCATGAAACTAACTTCTTCTTCAACGTCAATGGCTGACAGAAGCACCTCCAGCATCGCGGATCTCTCGCCGCCTATAACCAACCCTCTCACAAACACCAATATACCCTCCTCCCTCAAATTTCTTATGTCAAACATCAAATTCATTATCCACACTCAATTAGTCAGTAACAACTACCTCATATGGCGTCTTCAAATTCTCAAGCTTTTCTCTGCCAATCACTTTGTTGGCTACCTCATAGGCGCATACCTTGCCCGCCCAAACTGTGTTCCACAACCATCGGCAACCTAGAACCCAACCCCGCCTACACCACTTGGTAGTTTCTTGACCAAAACCTATCAGCCGCTCTATACTCAACCATTCTATGTTGCACCGATACACCTATGTATGAAGGCGTGTTGTATCTGATACACTGATACACGGATACGCCTCCGATACGGCACCGATATGTGTCGGATACGGCTTTGCCGTATCCAATTAAAATACTGTTTAATTTTAAATGTACACGCATATATGATACGCATGTCCGTTGAAAAAAAAAAAAATCGAAAAAAGACGCATCGTATTTACTTCCGTGGCTGTGAGCGAGGTTCTCTCATTTCCGAGATGGATTTGAGTATCTTGATGATATGAGAATATTAGAGATTGCTAATATTTCACTTGATGAGCCTGAATTAGAAATTATGATATTTATTGAAGTTGATATAAAAGTTCAAAGACAAACCACTGAATAAGCTAATCATATCATTCCTTTTATTAAATAGTTGAAACTTCATGTGCTAGACAATTTATGTTCATGCTTTTGTTGTTGTTCTAGACATTTAATGCTTACTTTTATTTTAATATTATAAGCTACAAGGCTACAAATGATGTTGTTTTCATTTTTTTTTGTAATTTCAAATATTATGCTTTGATTGCTTTCTTAATTTTTATATATAATTTATAAATTATAATGTTGTTTCCGCGCCGTACCCATATCCTTTATTTTTAAGAATTGATGTCACATATCCGTATTGTGTCGTATTCGTGTCGTCGTATCTATATCGGTGCAACATAGCAACCATCTCATCTACCATTCTCCCATACATCTTAAACCTCCAATCTTGCCATGAGATATGGATCACCTTGGAGAAATGCCTACATCCATCCAACAGATCTCCCGTGGTTTAACTGAAAAACAAGTTGCATAACATTGCTATGCGCGATCAAACAATGCAACAATATCTCTCCATTATCAAATCTTTAGTTGATAACATTATTGCAGTGGGATCCCATCTTGATAGCGAAGACGTCATCCTGTATATTCTCAATGGTCAGCCTCCCTTGTATCAAGCCTTCAAGACGGCCATACAGACCAAGCTAACCTCCACAAGCTTGGATGGTCTCTACTATCTTCTATGCAGCGAAGAGATTAATTTAGCAGTTGAACATCTCAAAATCACCTTAGGAGAATCCTCCCCAGTTGCCTTCTCTGCCTCCAGGGGCCACCCAACCCGTACAGTTGAGGTCGCTTAAGCTCATACCTACATCGGTCGAACTCTTGCAACTCCCTCCCACAACCATGCTCCATCCACCGCATCACATGCCAAATCTGCAACAAGCCCGGACACATGGCAGTTGTCTTCTAGCACTGCAGCAATCTTCAATACAAACCCAATCCACCAAACACAATGACTAGCCTCTACACTCGGCAAACCACCACATCCAACTCATCAGACTGGTTTCTAAACTCCGGAGCATCAACTCACATAAATGCCGACCTCTCCAATATGCAGCAAGAAGCCCCCTATAGAGGTTCAAACGCAATCACCATTGTTAATGGCACAACACTCCACATCTCCAACATCGGCAAAAGCATTCTCCCAACTCCTAATACCAATCGTAAGCTCTATCTCAACCAAATCCTTCATGTTCCATCCCTTTCATATAATCTTCTTTCTCTTCATCAACTCCTAGCCGACAATAACTGCTATGATCACTTTGATGCTCATGGTTTTCTCCTTGTGGATCTCACGACCAACCAGCCTCTACTTCAGGGTCGTAGACTTAACGGCCTCTACCCCATCCATTCAACTAACATCACCAATACACAACATGCTCCGCCGCCTTTCTTGATCAACTCCAGCTTTGGCATGCTTGTCTGGGACATCCTCAACATTCTACATTACACAAACTTTCTAGTACGCTAAAGTTCCATTGTCTGTCGTCTGTCTCTTCTAAATGTAGTGCTTGTAATGTGGCCAAATGTCATAGGCTACCATTCTCTCCTACTCTTAAATGTACTTCCAAACCTCTATCGTTAATATATACAGATGTTTGGGGACCATCTCTTGTTCCATCTTTAATTAGCTACAAATATTATGTCTTATTTATCGATGAATTCTCTAAATTCACATGGCTATACCCAATGCATCAAAAATTTGAAACAACAACACATTTAATAAAATTTGTCCATCTAGCTGAACGCCAATATAACACCAAAGTCCAAACCATCCGCTCCGATGGCAGAAACGAATACACATCTCACTCCCTAGCTACATTCTTCACTCAAAAAGGGATTCAATACCAATTCAGCTGCCCCTACACACCCGAACAAAATGGGGTAGCAGAACACAAACATCGCCACTTACTAGACACAACCAGAACTCTGCTACATGCTGCATATCTCCCCATCACCTTCTAGTTCGAGGCACCGCAAACCTCCTTATATTTTATAAATCACATTCTCTCCACCAATACAACTAACAAATCTTCCTATCATCTTCTCCACAATAAGCTCCCTCACTATGACCATCTCAAGGACTTTGGCTGTCTACTTCCCGTGGCTTTGCCCACTGTCTCCTCACAAACTTGCACCCTGCTCCTCTCCCTGCCTTTTCCTCGGCTATTCCAATAGTCACATGGGTTATGCTACAATCTCAACACACACCAAATACACATCTCCCGCCATGTTATCTTTCATGAACAAACCTTCCCATTCATAACTACACCCCACACAACCTTTTATCTTACCTAGCTACCACCCTTATAGTACCTCACTCACAATTAATTCCACCAAACAACCCAACACTTGCTCCGCCTATAACCATACCACTGCATTCAATAACCCCTGCTCCCCACAACACATCACAACTACTTCAATCACCAACCTAGTCACCAACTTCAGCCACTCCCACACCGCCAGCATCTATCTCAATAATTCCAACCAAGCATCCCATGGTCACTAGAGCCCAAACCGAACATTTCAAGCCGAAAACTATCTTTTACTGACTATCCCCTCTCCACTTCCAACTCCTAGCAACTATACCCAAGCCTCCAAAATTCCAACCTGGCGTCGTGCTATGCCCGACGAGTTTAATGCTTATCAATGTCAAGGAACATGGTCACTAGTTATACCACCACATGATCAACCTATCCTAGGATGCAAGTGGACCTACAATACAAAACTTAAACCAGATGGCATCGTTGATTGCCTTAAAGCCCACCTTGTAATCAAAGGCTTTCATCAACAACATGGCATCAACTATCATGAGACATTTAGTCCCGTAACCAAGATCACTACCATCAGAGTCCTTCTCGTTCTAGCTCTTCACCACAATTGGTCAGTTCGTCAACTCGACGTCTCCAATGCCTTTCTCCACGGCATCCTAGATGAGACAGTCTACATGTCCCATCCACCAGGCTTCACCGACCCTCTCCAACCCAATCATGTCTGCAAACTCCACAAAGCCATATACGGCTTCAAGCAAGCACCTCGCCAATGGTTCTCCCCCTTTTCCAACTTTCTACTCTCCCAAGGGTTCAAATTCAGTCATTCGGACCCCTCCCTTCTACTCTACTCCCAATCCAACAATAAAATATTTCTTCTCCTTTAAGTTGACGACATCCTAATCACAAGCAACGATTCAACATCCTTATTAAATCTCATAACAACACTACAAAATCAATTCACTCTCAAAGACCTGGGAGCAATCTCAACTTTCTTAGGCATCCAAGTCTCCATACACCAATCATCCTACACCTTTCATCAAGCTCAATATGAAAAGAAATCCTACACAAATCAGGTCTATCTAGCTGCAAACCGGCTCTCACACCTCTCTCCCAAAAAACACGCATCCTCTCTCACAGATAATCAATGATATGATAACCCTCCTCATTACCGTCACATAGTCGGC